AAAGGATAAAATGCTCTATCTATCCTCACTCTTAGTCCCTATCCCTAAACTGGGCTGTCACTGCAACCGGGCCTCTATCTGTCTAAGTGGCCGTCAGATGCCTAACCTACCTCTAGCCTAATCTTATCCAACGCTCCCTATGCTAATCCTAGCTAAAGAGAGATCCAGACCAATAAGGCTCTTTAAGCAAAGAGGCTGCAAAGATACACTGCAATTAACAGAAAGTTCACCTGACAGTCTTATGCAGGTGAAAACACTGATCTATATATATATATATATATACAACTATAAGGATTCTGCAGTGTGTAAATAGAATAATGATAATGAACCACAAATCTCTCTCTTACAGAGATATTAGGATTCCTATACAGAAGTTGAAATATAACAGAGGCAGACCTAATCTGCTTCAGTAACAACTAAATAGATAGCAGCCTTGTTAATCTGGATCAGTACTCACAGAATCCCCATACAGTTCTCCCCAGATACATAGCACATGGCAGGCTGGTACCCTCTGCCTGATACTTCCTGGAAAACAACTATATAACATCCTGGGGTTTCTTGACCTCCTTGTAGGGGCAGGAAGCACACTTGTCTGTAATGGGACCTCTATGGTAGTGGCTGTATATGGATGTAAACAAACCACAACTAGTGTATAAAATAACAGTTCCCTACATATACAAACAAAGAGGGGTTCCTGACAGTGAAAGCAGTATGTGGATGTAAGGGACAAAAGACAGTGACAAGGTATATACTCTATAACTGCCCTACAAATTTATACAGTGGAAAACTATCGTGTTTATAACATACAGCAATGTATAGTATGGAGCCATGTGGATTATACAGCAGTGTATAGTATGGAGCCATGCGGAATATACAGCAATGTATAGTATGGAGCCATGTGGATTATACAGCAGTGTATAGTATAGAGCAGCAATGGGCAAACTACGGCCCGCGGGCCGTATACGGCCCGGGGGACCTTTTAATCCGGCCCGCGGAGCGTGATACTGTCAGGATGGCTGTCAGGATGTGTATAGGCGGAGCAGCGTGACGAACGCGAGGGGAGCTAGGCTCCTCTCACAGTCCGCCCTGAAGACCGGTGTAGCATGAAAATCTATCTCCTATGAGGATCTGTCCCCCTCGACGTATCTGCGCATGTGCCGGAGATCGCCGATCGGCTGCTAATGCCTGAAACTGGCACATGCGCAGATACGTCGAGGGGGACAGATCCTCATAGGAGACAGATTTTCATGCTACACCAGAACGGCGCGGGAACACGGCGAGAGGAACGCGCGGAGCAAAGGTAAGTGAATTGACACAGGGGGGACTTAATATGGGGGATGAATTACTATGGGGGATGAATTACTATGGGGGATGAATTACTATATGGGGGATGAATTACTATGGGGGAGGAATTACTATATGGGGGATGAATTACTATATGGGGGATGAATTATTATATGGGGGATGAATTACTATATGGGGGATGAATTACTATGGGGGATGAATTACTATGGGGGATGAATTACTATATGGGGGATGAATTACTATGGGGGATGAATTAGTATGGGGGGTGAATTACTATATGGGGGATGAATTACTATATGGGGGATGAATTGCTATGGGGGATGAATTGCTATGGGGGGATTACTATATGGGGGATGAATTACTATGGGGGATGAATTACTATATGGGGGATGAATTACTATATGGGGGATTAATTACTATGCTTACTATGGGGGATGAATTACTATATGGGGGATGAATTACTATATGGGGGATTAATTACTATGCTTACTATGGGGGAATATTACTATACTTACTATGGATGACAAATACACATCATTCATCTACTCTTGGTCCGGCCCCCGGGTCCAATATATGAACCCATTGCGGCCCTCAAGTCAAAAAGTTTGCCCACCCCTGGTATAGAGCCATGTGGATTATACACCAGTGTATAATATGAAGCCATGTGGATTATACAGCAGTGTATAGTATAGAGCCATGTACATTATACAGCAGTGTATAGTATGGAGCCATGTACATTATACAGCAGTGTATAGTATGGAGCCATGCGGATTATACAGCAGTGTATAGTATGGAGCCATGCGGATTATACAGCAGTGTATAGTATGGAGCCATGCGGATTATACAGCAGTGTATAGTATGGAGCCATGCGGATTATACAGCAGTGTATAATATGGAGCCATGTACATTATACAGCAGTGTATAGTATGGAGCCATGTGGATTATATATCAGTGTATAGTATGGAGCCATGTGGACTATACAGCAGTGTATAATATGAAGCCATGTGGATTATACAGCAGTGTATAGTATGGAGCCATGTGGACTATACAGCAGTGTATAGTATGGAGCCATTTAGATTGTACATCAGTGTAAAGTATGGAGCCATATGGATTTTACACCAGTGTATAGTATGGAGCCATGTGGATTCTATATCAGTGTATAGTATGGAGCCATGTGGATTATATATCAGTGTATGGTATGGAGCCATGTGGATTATACTGTATATCAGTGTATAGCATGGAGCCATGCACATTATACAGCAGTGTATAGTATGGAGCCATGCACATTATGCAGCAGTGTATAGTATGGAGCCTTGCGCATTATGCAGCAGTGTATAGTATGGAGCCATGCGCATTATACAGCAGTGTATAGTATGGAGCCTTGCGCATTATACAGCAGTGTATAGTATGGAGCCATGTGAGCTATATAGCAGTGTATAGTATGGAGCCATGTGGATTATATATTAATGTATAGTATGGAGCTATGTGGATTATATATCAGTGTATAGTATGGAGCCATGTGGATTATACATCAGTGTATAATATGGAGCCATGTGGATTACACAGCAGTGTATAGCATAGAGCCATGTGGATTATACACCAGTGTATAGTATGGAGCCATGTGGATTATATTACAGTGTATAGTATGGAGCCATGTGGACTATATAGCAGTGTATAGTATGGAGCCCGTCGATTATATATCAGTGTATAGTATGGAGCCATGTGGACTATATAGCAGTGTATAGTATGGAGCCATGTGGATTATATATCAGTGTATAGTATGGAGCCATGCACATTATACAGCAGTGCATAGCATGGAGCCATGTGGATTATACAGCAGTGTATAGTATGGAGCCATGTGGATTATACACCAGTGTATAGTATGGAGCCATGTGGTTTACACACCAGTGTATAGTATGGAGCCATGTGGATTACACACCAGTGTATAGTATGGGGCCATGTGGACTATATAGCAGTGTATAGTATGGAGCCATGCACATTATACCCCAGTGTATAGTATGGAGCCATGCACATTATACCCCAGTGTATAGTATGGAGCCATGTGGATTCTATATCAGTGTATAGTATGGAGCCATGTGGATTATACTGTATATCAGTGTATAGCATGGAACCATGTACATTATACAGCAGTGTATAGTATGGAGCCATGCGCATTATACAGCAGTGTATAGTATGGAGCCATGTGAACTATATAGCAGTGTATAGTATGGAGCCATGTGGAATATATATTAATGTATAGTATGCAGCTATGTGGATTATATATCATCCATGTGTAGTCAGTGTATGGAGCCATGTGGATTATACATCAGTGTATAGTATGGAGCCATGTGGATTACACAGCAGTGTATAGCATGGAGCCATGTGGATTATACACCAGTGTATAGTATGGAGCCATGTGGATTATATTACAGTGTATAGTATGGAGCCATGTGGACTATATAGCAGTGTATAGTATGGAGCCATGTGGATTATATATCAGTGTATAGTATGGAGCCATGTGGACTATATAGCAGTGTATAGTATGGAGCCATGTGGATTATATATCAGTGTATAGTATGGAGCCATGCACATTATACAGCAGTGCATAGTATGGAGCCATGTGGATTATACAGCAGTGTATAGTATGGAGCCATGTGGATTACACACCAGTGTATAGTATGGAGTTATATGGTTTATAGTATATACAGAAAAGTGTAACAAATGGTGATGTTCAGTAAGCAATGTGCACCACAGTGTACAAGGTGGAGCCGTGTGCAGCATCGTGCACAGACTAGAGTGGTGTGCAATATATCATATACAACACAGTGCTGAGAGTGCAATAGTGTGAAGTATAAGATATACAGCATAGTGTACAGAGTGGAGTGGGGTAGAACATATAATGTACAGCACAGTGTACTTAGGGGATCAGTAATCCGTAAGGGATATACACCACATTGTTCAGAAATGAGCAATATGCAGCATAGTGCACAGAGTGATGTAGAGTATATATTATACAGAATGGAGTGGAGTGATGAATGGGATGATGTATATAATGTACAGCATAGTGTACAGAGTGGAGTGGGGTGAAATATATCATGTACAGCCTAGAGTACTCAGTGGAGTTATATTCAGTAAGAAATGTACATCACATTGTCAGAGTGTAGCAGTATGCAGAACAGTGGACAGGGTAGAGTGATGTGTAATGTATGATATACAGCACATTGTAGAGAGTGGAGTGGGGTGAGTGTATAGTACAGCACAGTGTATATAATGTACAGCATAGTGTATATAATGTACAGCATAATGTAGAGTGGAGTGGGGTGTAGGGTTGCCAGCTCATCCCTTTAAAACCGAACACATATTAATTACACAGGTTCTGAGGCTAATTTAATGTAAGTTTAATTACCACCTTAATCAGCCACGGAACCTGTGAAAATAATATGTATTTGGTTTTAAAGGGATTAGGTGTATAATGTGCACTTTTGTGTGTAGACAGGAGTATATAATGATCCTCTAAAATTTTGTCAATGACAGCAACCTGGCATGATACAGGTTCTCCCATTATTTGCAGTTTCTTTTGTTGTGTACAGCAGATTATCTCTGATCTACATTTGTGATATTGGCTAGGGTATTTAAAAATCTGTTGCTGTTCTCATTCTAATGTGATCTTTTTTTATCTGTTCTTCCATCTGTAGACTCCAAACAGTGTCAGCTTTGACAAAGATACAGAAAAATCTCTGTTAACAAGCAAACTGGTGATTACAAGCATTCCGTCAACACAGGAGAGTTTAATCAAGTGGGCTTCTGATGAAAATTACCCGGCGAACTTCTACACTCATGCATCAGTGGCAAACAAGTTCCAAATTAAACTCCTTGATGACATAGGTAGGGATTAAATATTTCAATATTTGCACATGTGAATCTAATTTAATATGAATTAAATTTACCGGTAATACATGACAGGAACATCTGCAATGTGCTTGTTGTATGGCTGCTGTAAATTTATATATATACTGTAAAATCAGTGTAAATCTGAGATATCTTTGCTTTGCAGAATTTTCTTTGCACAATAGAGAAAAGAGCCTTCCTGCTTTTTACTCCAAGGATTTAGTTTCTACATTACCACAGAACTTTAATTCAAGGTTCCTAATCAGATTAGTGATCCAGCATGTATATATATTTTGTATGATTCAGTAATAGATTTCCAGTTTATTTATACAAAGCTTTAGACTGCACAATTTCTAAATGTGCAGGAGCCAAGAACTAGTTCCCAATCTGATCATGTTCATGAAGCAGGATTATAGGCTTTATGCTTAAAAAGTATAATAAAAGCTACTTGAAACTTTTTGAAAAAATATTTTTTATTTAAATAAAGGGCCGTTTTATTTGTGGTAATCCTCTTGGATTGTTAGTGCAGCCTTTTCTCTCTTCAAGATTGCTTGTTTTTATTTACAATTTACTTGCATTTTCACCCAGCCAGAGCAAAAGTTTTAGGCTCCAAGGCTGGCCATAAATGGATCATTTTTTTGTTCAGCCAGTGGGCTGAATAAAAAAAAATTTGAATGGATGCCACAAACTGTAGCTGGATAGAAGAGTCCTTCCACCTGAAATGTTGTATTCTGAGAGTGTGGACTCCCCACTGTTGGAATACACTGATCACCAGTTGTAGCCCATTGGCTTGATTAAACAATTGACTTCTGTCAAGCGAGAGCTACCACATATGGTTCAAAAGTGTTAGGCTCCAGGGCTGGCCATAGATGGATCATTTTTTTGTTCAGCCAGTGGGCTGAATAGAAAAACAATTTGAACAGATGCCACAAAGTCAAGCTGGATAGAAGAGTCCCCCCAGCTGAAACATTGTATTCTGAGAGTGTGGACTCTCCACTGTTGGAATACACTGATCACCAGTTGTAGCCCATTGGCTTGATTAAACAATTGACTTCTGTCGAGCGGGAGCTACCACATATGGATTGAAATTAGGTCAGTCCCTACTGAAATTTTATATATATATGGACAGCGTTAACTACCTTATCTGTGGTCTGAGCTCAGCAATGACAACAGACATTTATAACATACATAACAAGGATCAAGTGTGAGTTAGCAGTCAGGTGTTGGTTATCAGCCCTGAGCTTAGGTAGAAGTCATGTCAGGCTTCATGACAGTCAAACTGGCTGATAGTAGGCCGATCTTTTCGCTCCAACAGGAAACACAACTAAATAACAGCACATGCAGCTATCCCTTAGAGGTCAGGTTACACTATTAAAAAAAGCTTAAAGTGGAACTGAACTCAAAAAGTAAAGATTTACTATGTTGTGGGAACATCTAGAAATATTAATTGCGGCTACGTAGTACCATGGAAAAAATACCTTTGGCCTAGAATTCCTCCTAAAACATTGCAGTGCACTTTCTGGTATGTGACGGTGTCTGTGCAATCCAGTGCCTACAGCCTAGCTGTATACCCATAGCATGGGATCTAAGACATTGCTGTCTCTGGCTGCAAGTCTCATGGGATTAGGAGTGAAATTTGGTTATGTCACTACTTTGCCGCTCACTGTTCTCATTGCAGCAGACTCCGATATAAAGGAAAAGCCCTGCCTCTGGCAAAATGGCTGCTTCCACACAGAGACCATGCACAGAACACAATGTGTTAAGTCAGTAATGGGAAAAGATCAGATGCAGGGTTTTTTTTACTACTTACTTCTTACTACTCTATCCAAAACTAAGAAAAAGTTTTAGCTATACAAACACATTAATTCAAACCTATATCTAGATACTGTCCTTTCTGCATGCAAAGTATATAACTAATTGTACTGCTGCAAAGTGAAATTCAGGTTAATAACTTAACACATGACCTTATATTATTTAAGCATTGCTACTTTAAAGCAGTTCATTCACTATACCAATGTCACATGTGCTTGGACATTTTGACAGTTTTTTAATTGTTAAGGCTTGGTTCACACTAGTATGCCTTGTCATGCGACTTTGAACACATAAAGTCACATGACAAGCCTCAACTCATTTATTTAAGTGGCACCCATTCCAATCTATGCGACTTAGATCATAATGTCTTTAAAAATGGTTCATGCACTACTTTGATGCTACTTTCTTGTCATTTGATTGCCATAGAGTGTAAAGTTGCAGGAAAGTTGCACTGGAAATTGTGTGACTTTGCAGTTGCATTAGTGTGAACCCAGCCTTAATGTGCCTTGCACACGGGGCTGTCCAGCTGCAGTGCTGCCCTCCCAGCATTTTAGTGTGCCCAATAAAGACAGATGCAGCATCCAGCCCTTCTACAGGCAGCTTGTCAAAGTTTATGACAGGCTGTGGCTGAACAGCACTGAATGCTGTACTAAGTGGTACCAGCATTTAGGGCCCTGTGCATTCAGAGACAGATGTTTAGAATGCCGCTTTATCTGCATTCTGGACTTTTGTCCCTGAAAACAAAGAGTCCTAAATGCTGCTGCCACCCAATACAGCGTTCAACTCCTGTCAGCTGTAGCCTGCCATAGACTTTGACAGGCTGGATGTTGCATCTGTCCTTCTTAGGAACACTAAAATGCTGGGAGGGATGCACTGCAGCTAGATGGCCCTTTGTGCAAGGGGGCAAAAGTGTTCTGGATTAAGTATGAAGAAGCTCGATTTTTATTTTTATTTTCTGCCTTTGTCCAATTCAGCAGATTCCCCTTTGTTTCATTTCAAGCCCACTTAGGTTCTAGCTTTTCCCTACCCTATCAATGAAAAATAGTTTTATTGCTATTGTGTCCCTGCTAGAAAAATTGCTCATCATTTACTTTTTGTTCTAACAATTTCTATTCTATTTAAAATTTAAAAAAAGGGTTTGGCTAGAAATACATTTTAACCAGTATAGTCTGTGTAATTATTTGTAAGTGGAATGGCTGCAATTAACACAGAGTGAATGATTCTTTATAACTACAAAACAGTCCTAGACATAATTATTTATAGCTTTGTTTATGACTGCAATTAAATAATATACGCAATGGATTAGTTAGAAATTTTCAAAATCAATATGTGATTTATTGTTATGGGCTGTTTTTAATTTTTTTTTTTTAATTTTATTTAGTAGAGATGAACGATGATGACAAGTCAGATATTCCCCCAGGATGGTTAGACTTTCTGAGTTTAAGTGATTCAGAAGGAATGGGAGCGTTTAATCCCACATCAGAAGATTTTCGGCACAGGCGTATAGAAGATGTGGACATGGGGGACACACTGAAAGAACCAGAGGAGGCACAAGGGAACATTAATGTTGCCTTGTCTGTTAAATGCGATGATACTAAGATGATGGCAGCCATACAAAAAGAAAACCTACAGGTGTGTAACTTTGACATACAATTTGATTGACTTCTGTATAAATACCATCATTTAATTGAGGTGTTTTTGCATTTAAAGGAATATTGTGTGACACTTGTGATGCTTTTTTTCCTTTAATGACTTGCGTAAATGGGAGTAACTGCATCCAAATTGAGATTTTTGACTGTCAAGCAAATGGAGAGGAGTGCTTTAGACAGTAATGGACAGCGTTGGGTGTTACAAATGCACAAAGGATCAAAGGACCAAATAAAAAATAGATTAACTCAATTAAGAATATTTTGGCTATCTTTTAAATGTATACAGTATGTGAGAATATATCCCTACCATTAGGGCAACATGAAATATTTTACTTGCTGTTAATATTTGCTTTTCAGTTGATTGAAACCATTTGTTTTACTATATCAGTCATCATAGCCTAAGCAGAATATGATTGAAGTGTGCTTAAGTGGTATACGTACACAGAAAGTCAGCTGGCCTTCTTATGAAAATACCAGGTGCCTGGCTGTCTTTAGCCTTAGTACTTTTTGAGTCACTAACCTAAGAAAAGGAAACAGTGAAAGCAGAGTTCCTGATCTGCCTACTTGTTCCAGGTCAGTGATTTAGAAAATAGATAAGACACTGGATAAAAGCAGTCTGGACCAACATTTTAAAATGGAGAGGTCAGGGCTGGCTATTTCACTTACAAGTATTCTTATCAGTGACTGGTTCCCCTGTTGGTGATGAAAGTCATTCATCCTGACTGCCTCCCCCCCATGTGATTGTCCATAGCCTGGATAAGCCATTTGCCCACTAGCAGTCAGCTTCCTGATGTTTGAGATTTGCTAAATGAAACTAACATTCAATCCCATAATATGTACTTTAGCCCAGATTTGTAATACAGTTATAATGATCTTATCTTTCAGCTAGGTGAATACATTTTGAAATCTCATCAGACTGTTAGGGCCTTGCTTGACAAGCTTTTGTGTCAGATGGGTTTTGCATCCCTATACAAGTCCAAAGAAATGCAAAATCTGATCAACTGCAGGCCAAGTGAACCTGTCAAAGAATTCTGAATAACCTTAGAAGATCCTCAAACCTCAAAGAAGATCATCAACACAAATACAAAGCCTGTCGAAAAATTATTTTTTTAAATATAAAAAAAAAGAAAATCTTGTGTTAGCTTTGTGAATGGAACCTTTTGTTACCTTTACTTAATTCAATGTGAAATTGATGTGCTTGATATCAGTATTGGTATGCTAAAAAAATCCATAAAATGTGTCTCAGTGCCTTTGGGATTAATATGTTTATTTAGTATAAACGATAATGCATTCTGCTTCTAATCATGGTTTTTGGCCTTAGCTGTTGACTTGTTGCATCCTTTTTAAGGCCAATGGATACATAGGGACAGAGCTTTCTCTACTCGATCCAGTATGCAGAGCACAGGAAAATGACACTCATTTTATCTTAGAGTCTTCCCTGGAGGGATGTGGAACACAGCACACCATTGATGGCTCGAGTATTGTTTACTATAATACTGTAAGTAGATTGATGGGTTGTTAGTTCTGTCTGAGGCATTTTAACAGAAATTTAGCATCAAAACTTTGCTGATGATGCAATTATGATTAGCAATTTCCTAGGCAGTGTAGAACTATATGCTTATTTTGGCTTGCCCAGATCTTCTTTCTTTCTTGGGTTCAAACTTGTCCTCCTTTCTCTTTTTACCTCGTGTTGAATTTGTATTTTCATGCCTTCAAAGGATCTTTCCTGTTGTTTTTACCTTTCCTTTCCCTGGCTGAAAACATTTTTTTCATTATGTATATTACCCAGCATATGCTCAAGATCTTTAGACCTCATCATCATCTTCTCCAATCCCTGCCTAGCATGCAGCTAGACCACACCTGTTTCTTTTTTCTACCATTTCTGTTATGAGATTTAAGGACCATAAATGGTTGTTGATATCACTTAAGAATAGTTTGTTTTTTTTAGTTATAGCTCATGGACTGACATTAATTTTAAAAGGTGGGCTTACTCAACCATATTTAGCTGTAATTCAGGTGGTTTCATTTTCTTTAGGCCTGATTCACATCTGTACAATGTGGTAATGCTTAGTAAAAAGTTACTGCAATGCACAATAACACACGTTATACAGTACTGTGATGTGCTTTTCTTTTTGAATAGAGTCAAAGCACCACACATGCTTTTTAAAGCAACACAAGGCATATGCGAGTGCATTGTGGTGGTGCGTAATGTTGAAAAAAGCTGCAAGTCAATTAGAACCTAAGCTGCTTTGCCACAATCCATGTTAACCTGAAACATAAGGTATGATCACGTTCTTGTAGTAACACTCAGCCAAAGTGTAAATCCATCCTTAAATTTGGAGCAACCACACATTGTAAACATTTGAAAGATAATAATCATAGTAAAGACATATTCTGTAGGGTACAATGACAAGCAATTTAGAATATCACCTGCCCTAAAAGTTAAAGCTTTTGGCTACCAAAGTTAACTTCCAATATTCTAATTATTTAAGAATGCTACTTCATAATAAAGCAGTGCCTTAATATCCCCAAATTTCCGGTTTGGCAGTGTTCTGGTGCAAGATTTGGCTACTAGTATAGTATTTTGGTTTAGAAACCCCCAAAATACATTTTGGCACAACATTTTGGCTTGAAAGTCAAAAGGAGTTGTTAGGTAAATCCAGTATATGAGCTATAGTATTAGATCATAAGACCTACATCTTCACCATGTCATAGTCTTCCATATTAACCAGCTAATCTCTAAAACAGGCGACATCTGCCTTAATTAATATTACAGGTTCTCTTGAACTATACTACAGTGACATATTAAAGAAGAATTCCAGGTATGGATATTTTTTACATAGTTACATTGGTCCATCTTGGACCAATGTAACTATGTATATACCTTACCTGGACGATCTCCCTTGAATCTGGTAATCACTGCAGTAGGCACCTCTACTCCAGTGATCTCCACTAGCTTCCAGATCCCATGCCGAGCAGCTGCCCTTCTGCATGCTAAACACAGGAGGTTGGCCTCTCAGCATGAACATCATTCAGCGAATGTTTTGCATATACTGAATGAATGCAAAGTGTTCTCTGATTGGAAGAGATGGAGAGGCAGGGTAGCGACATCATGCAACATCCAGGGGGATCAGTCAAATGTGGTATATGCATAGTTACATTTATCCAAGCTGGACCAATGTAATTATGTATAAAATATCCATACCTTGAATTTTTCTTTAAGCGGCTGAAGTTTGGCTTCATCCATATAGAAGTTGTTCAGTCATATGGGTATTTACATCCTGCATGGAAGATGTCAGAGAAACTGAAAAATAGCTGAGAGTTACATATGTCTCACGAGCCACCACGGATGGGACAGCATCACTCAAGATTTATAGCTTTATCACTTAGCTTAGTAAGAAATTTTGCTAGACATGGTTTTGTAATGAGCTTCATCTAGGCCAAATTTTCTATACTGCCCATTCATTGGTCTATAAAACAAATCTCCTGCAATCTCTATATTTGAGCCTGAAATAAAATCCAAATCCTTCTCTTGACATAAGTATTGTTCACACGATAGGGCAGCTTCCTCCCCAGAGCTCAATCCGAATGTATAAAAAAAAACACATGTTCCTTTTCTCTTGCTGGTTTCATAGTTTCCACATGCTCCCAAACAATCTGTTTTTCCTATGACCTTGCCTGTTGGCCATTTAGGTGTTTTGTTTGTTTCTGTGGAGTTACCCCAATTTAAAATGAGCATGCTAAATGGAAAAGCAATCAGTTAACTACAATCTTTTAGTCCAAAAAAAAATTGTATGCTTTTATTTTTGTGAAAGCAGTCACACTGACAGCTTTTCCTGTGATGTTCCAGATTGTTATACAGCTATCACCACCCACTGAGGGAAGTGGCTGGCCTAGCGATTACGAGGATTTGGAATCTGGCGATAGCGGGTTTCCAGGAGACACAGAGGAAACTGAAATAGGTCTTCCATACTTGAAGCGTCCTGAAATTGTGGTGGTATGTGTTTTTCAGGAAGACAGAAGGACTGACTTTCCAAAAAGCTATTTTAGCTATTCCCCTTTTGAATGTTTTTATTAGACCCTCTTATTAGACATAGCTGCCACTCACAAGACTGAGATGAAGAATGTGTGTGGCCTGGCCAGCCAAATTTTTTGCACATTCACATCATAGTATATTAAAGAAGCCAGGTGTTTTTTTGGGTCCCCAAGAGTTATGCCTGGTCTAGGATGCAACCATTATCATCCCTGCTACTACTGTATTCCATATACCTGCCCAGGTCCATGTCCTTTAATTCTTCACTGTTTTTCATCGTGGGGTACAGATAACAGTATATGTGCCTCAGAATATCAGAAATGTATGTCTGTGAATAGCAGCATCAATCTGAGCGGGCAATATATTGCTATTAGTTCTATGATAATTTGTATTTATTATCTAATGACATTAAAAAGAGGATATTAAACTGTTGCCATTATTGATAGAAACTCCTCTCTCCATGGTGTCATGTAAAAATAGTCGTATATGTGAAACCAATACTTCATTGGTGTTTTTGAAAAGGGTTGTCTACTTTAGCTTTGTTAAAAACATTGGCTTCTGCTTTGGCATGAAGGGATGTTACTGTGTGCTGTGTACTAAACGAAAATAGCATTCCATTGGAATGGAAAATACAGATTAAAATATATATCTTTATTCAGCATATATTGAGAAATACCCACTTCTCAATGTATTTAATTGTTTATTTGGGCTTTGTTGTGCTCCACTCTCCATTCTTTAAGGGACAGACTTAAAATGAGTGTCATTTTTAATACTAAATTCTCATGTGTGATATACAAAAAAATAAGCCATCATTTTGAAAATTAATTTGATTTATTTTGATATGATGGATATGGGATGCATGAAAATGTGTAAATTATATGAAAGAATTATTCTGTTTTGTTGCACTTACCATACAACCCAGTACTGCGAATCCATAGGAGCAGCAAATGATGTGTGCATTGGCACTGTTCACAGTTTTTCCTACTGTGGTAAGAAAGGTTCTCTATGACCTGAAATGATCATCACTGAAGTGATGCCAGTACAGAAAAAAATGCCTGTGGTATTTTTTATTCTGAATTTCAGATATGCAGCAAGGTAGATAACATGATTAACAAATTAATTTGAAGTCTCGAATAGAAGAGGTCTTTCTACAGCTACCTTGATTTTATGGCAAGGAGTGTTAATCGACTTTCTGACAGAAAAATCATTGTGTAAATTGGGGGGACTAACAACATTTGACATACCATTGGTGTGTTCTACATCCTCGCAAATTCATTGGTCACCAACAGACTGTTGCAATAAATCAGTAGTCTCCAGTTAGTTTACAATTATGTATAGAGTATATAATGATTAAACTCCCATAAGGTTTTTTTAAAATTTGGGTGCCTTTGGAGAGATTTTTTTGTTAAAGTCCTGCTGCCTAGATACTACAGATACAACAGCAGGTAAGGAGAAATTCCCCTGCTACAAGTGACATCCCTGGCAGGAGATATAGGTTCCCCCAAGACGCAAGGTCTAAGTGACTGCTTATTCTTCCTCAGAGCACCCTGCAAGGAGTGGTGGACCCTAGTGGGGTTCTTTGCTGCAAGTTGACAACAGGGCACAGCCTTTGATTTCGCGACCAAGGGATTGCAAGGTAACTATAGTGAGGAGACAGGGCAGGTTGGTGCTGCAGGTTGTTGTCCACACAGAGGTCAGGGCAGGCAAAAGAATAGTCAATGTCCAGACACAGATAGAGGCAGGTGGCAGACAAGAAAGTAGTTGTGGTCCAAGCAGAGGTTGAAGCAGGTACCAGGCAGGAGAGTAGTTTGGGTCCAAGCATAGGCCGAGTAAGGTGGTAGGCAAGGTGAATAATAGCAAGGGGCAGGGACAGCAGATGAGAACAGATTTAGGAAATCTGAATAACGAGAACAACAGCAATCTCAATGCACAAGGTACCTGATAAAAGTATTATGTACCAGCCACTATATAGGAAGGTGTTTAAAACACCCCCCAAGCTAATGAGCATGCCCTCCATCAGGGGCGCATGCCAATGCACACTAAAAAATTAACAAACACTAGCCCACACATGCCATGCATGACCAGCCTTAGCCAAAGACCACAAGCCTACAGGTGCATATGTGACAGACTGCAGACAGACAGGACAGGCCATGCCCCGGCTGTACATAAATTAATCAGGTACTGTAAAACCTTTTAGACAGTTGCCCTTTAAAACTAAACTATATTCCCTTTATTCCAGTTTGTGTGGCAACTGTAAAATGTTGGATTTCCCATCACTTTCTGTTGGGGGTGACAATGATCAGCAGGATAAATAAGGATAGTTTAGGCTTAAGATACACTTTAGTATGAACACAAGAAGCAGCACGATCGTTTTGTATTAAATCTGTCATTGGAATAATATGTGGGCTGCTAAATAAAATGATGGTTAACTGCCACTTATTCTAACTTACTGGCTTCCATGCTTTCTGATGTGGAACACGTATGCAGATGAGACATGTCAGAAAATTATCAGAAATATTTATCTGCATGCGTCTCATAGGTCATTGGATGGAATTATCAAAGCTGTTAGATCGGCACATATGCCAGACATTTTTAGAAGGAAATGTCAGTGATGGCAGCCTGTATGTTTCTCTCTCATGACAGCATCTTTTTAAAAAGAACAGTTAGGGCTTTTTTTTGTCAGAAAATAGGTGCACGTACTCTCTTCTGATTCACCCCTTGTCTCCACCTCTGAGCACTGTCCTTTAGCTCCACCCCCCACAGAACCAAGTATCATTTTGTGGTGCTAAGTAATTTGGTAATGATAATGAGCAAAGCAGTAAAATAGATCCCCCCCTGCAGCCAGCAGCAATCAATGGACCATCCAGTAAAAATAGACCTCCCTAGTAGATCCCTCCCAACAACAATTTACCCCCCCAGTAGCATAAGACCTCCCACCAGCAACAATAGACCTCCCCAGAAATGATAGACCTCCTGCAACAATAGATCAGACCCAGTGACAATTGATCCCCAAGTAGCCAGCATCAATAGACCTTCCAGCACACCCCAGCACCTTGCCATTACATACGTTCAGTGCTGGCGATGTCAGGACTGTGTTACCTGTGTTATACTTGACAATGTTTGAAAAGTGCTGGATGTATAGCTTTATAGCTATTCAGAAGAGCACTAGTGAATATTTCTCCGCTTTCTTCCAGGAATACCTGTAATAAATCAGTCAAGCTGATCTAATATCAGGGAAAGGCGAATTTTGCTCAATTTGCAGGTTTAATGGATTATGCAACCACTCCAGTCAAACCTATATACTGTATCATCTATGCACCATATCCTAACTACATAATACATTAATATGAGTTTAGTCCCTAAAAGGTCCTCCGTTTATGGTAAAATACAGTTAGCTGGCAGTTGACTTCTAGAAATATACAAGAATGAAATGGAGCTGCATCCTGAAATATGGTTTACTCTACTGATTATGTACTTTTAGGGTGTCTTTGCAATCCAGAAATTAATAAATACAACTGGAAACTGAAAAACGTCCAGTCTTCTACTTCTAGTAGCTAATATTCTTTTCTTGTCTTTTTAGTTTAACTGTACAATGCCACAGGATACTGGGTCCCCCTTTGATCTTATCTTTGCTCATCCTGACGCAGCAATAAACAATGTTACATTTAACATGGAGCTTTATAAAACGGATCTGTTCCTTACACCATCTCAGAACTATTTCTCAGTGGCTGAAAATGGGCAGGTGTATGTGGAGGTAAGCTGTTATTTTATGGGTAACCCAGAAAGCTGCTAATGCAGAGGCACATACACTTATAATGACTGAGTGTCACTTTAAGGGCCACTTCACACTACAAAAATGCACTTCGGATGCATTCTGGATACGTTTTTGCTTACAGTTCACACCACATGCAGTTCCAGCACAGTTTTGGTGCAGTTTGCTATGTGCCAGTACAGTTCTGTGCAGAAAAAATGCAGTATGTTCTACTTTTTTTTTCTTCACGGAAAACTGACTGGAACTGACTGCACTAGTGTGAACCAGGGCCATTGGAATACATGGAAAACACTGTGCATACATTTTTGATACAGAAAAAAAGTGCACTGAACTGCATCTGGTGTGAACTAGCCCTTAAACATGTTTGTAATTTTATACAAAATTGTTAATGACTAAGATTATGTTTATTAAAAACCATGACTGTACTATGGAGAGATGCACAAGTGCCTTTAATGTTGTTATATATGTTCATCTTTTGCCTGTTAATCAACCATTGTTATAGATAGGATTAGGGGTTAAAATATTTAGATTTTTTGTGCTATAATAGCAATACTTTACAGAGTAAATGTCAATGTTCAAATGTGGTTGCATAAGTATGTATTGAGATCTCCATCATAACAAAGAAAAGTTCAAATGTAGGGAGTGTATAGGTTATACATAAACAGAATGGGAAGCCTAGCAACATTCCAAAACTAGCTCTTTGATATGCAGCATTTAACTTATTAGATGAAATAACTAGGGTTCAACCCATTTCTTCTTCATTTATAACACAGTGCTGAATTCACGATTGTGGCCAGTTTTATGCATTATCTGCAGTTTTTTAAACACGGGATGGTATAGAACTGGCTGCCTAGAGCATTCTACTAATTTAATTTTTAATAATTTAATAATTGCATTTTTCTAATTTAACGTGTGTGTATATATATATATATAGATAGATAGATAGATATAGATATATATCAGTGTATATATAGGCAAAACTTTTTTTTAGTTTTGGATAAAATAAGTAAGGGTTAAAAACCTTTATCTGTGTTTTGTTTGTTTTTTTTTTTGCTTTCTGCTCCCACTGGGGAGGATTCCTTTTGCTTCCTGTCTCTGAGGCATAAAAGGGAGTCTCCACAAATTGAGTGGCATTCCCATCTTTGAGTGTTGTCACTGGTGGGACAGGTATCTCCTTTGGATGGTTTACTCTCAACTCTTGTTCTGATGACAACTTTAAAAGTTTGGGTTTCTCTTTGTTTTCTGTCTTGCTGGCAGTAGTCACTAAGAAAAAATGGGTTGAATCTCCCCAGCAGGGACACGGACCGCAATAAAAACTTGACACAGGGTCTAACCTCTCCCCCCTCTAGCCAAAACTAAAAAAAAAATATGTTTTTGCCTTATATACCCTTTTAACAGAGGATGTAAAACACTGATTTGTTCCTGCTGATCACCCCTCAACAGCAATATGAATGTAAAAAAAACTACTACAGAATGTCATTGTGTTCTATAACACTCTGATCCAGCTATAAATTCCAGCAGAATTGCTATAAAGCCCAATTGAAATGTGTTTATAAATCTATTTAGCTAAGCTAGGTGTGCAGCAAAATGTTAAATGTCTTACTTTTGTAATGTTGGTAAGAAGTAAAGCTTTATAATTATCAGGAATCATGAGCGTACCACTTGCTGAGCTATACATTTGACTAAGCAGGGGAGGGAAAGTTATTTATTTCTTCTATACTAGCTGAATATCTGCAAAACGTGGCTGAAAAGTGGTGGTGTATTTCAAAGTGACATGCTAGACAGTTAAACCATCTGACAATTTCTTAGCTCTCTCAGGGACTGTTGGTACAATATCTAAACTTGGGTTCCTGGTACTGCACACCTGCCATGGCCATCCCCCTACTGGATGTTTAAACATGATTTTATGTTATGGAGAAGGCCAGAGAAGTTATTGAAGCAAACAGATGTGAGAACACCCCAAACTTCTAGGTGGACAGCAATTATAATAGAGAGATTTTTCTGTTGAAGCATCTGAGACATAAAGGAAGACAGGAGCAGACTCAGTTATCCTGCCTCTAGGAAAAATACAAATATCACATTTGGGTGCACTGACCCTTTTATTAGTTAATTAGTGATGTGGTTCAACATATTTTTAGAAACAATTTGCATATCAAAATAGCTGAGTAGATGCTTAAACACAGTTTTCAACACATGCTTTACAATGTAAATGCCTCTGCATAAAATTATGAATAGTGTAGAAGAACAAAAAAAAAAAACAAACAAAATAAATTTCATTGGGCATGAATGAAAAATTATGTGTCTCTTGCTTCACACGCCACAAAAAGATTTTTTTACTCCCTCTAAAATAGTTATTCTATGAGAAATGTTTGAGTGTATGATATTTATTGATAAGTACAAATATTATATTGCCAGGGGATTCCACAGCAGAATCCTCTTTTAAAGTATGACATCCCCAACATTTTTTCTTCTTTCAATTTTCAAGGTCTCCTTAACCAAAGCAGAGAAAGATCTGAGCTTCATGATCCAGACTTGTTTTGTTTCTACTTCCTCCAATTCTGATATGCTAAGTGAATATACAATCATAGAGAACATCTGTCCTAAAGATGATTCTGTCAAATTCTACAATGTAAAGAAACTAAACTACCCAAAGTCCCAAGAGCAAACAGAAAAGAAACGGTTCAGCTTCATGTTTAAGTCTATGTTTAACACTTCTCTGCTCTTCCTGCATTGTGAATTGACCTTATGCACAAATAAAGATGGAGAGATGGATAACCTACCCAAGGTGAGATTTTAGATTTGTTATGCCATTTGTTTTTGGAGGTAATTAAGTAGAATAAGTCGCTTTCTTTTGTATGGATCCAATCCAAGATCAATGAGTAATTAGTACAAAAACCTGACCATGCAGCCAACTTCCTCCACTCTGAAGACAAATTAGCTTTTAAGCAATTTAAGAAATATTTTAATAGCTACCTTTGCCTCTTATTTTTGAACCAAAGTAGAGAGCAGTTAAAAAATATAACAAGAAGCTTATAGGTCATTAACAACACCGTAAATTCATACAATGATCCTTTTTACAATATGATGACAATGATATTGTCATGTGAGATAATTTATGTGGCTTATGTATATGAGTATATTGTTCCTTTGTTTCTCCTGAGAAGCACCATCTATGTTGTCTACTTACACTTGGTGGAAGCTGTATCGTTTTATTTAATTCCCCATGGGACCGAGTGCATATCAGATGTGGCCATGTTCTGTGCAGTGGCCATTGCGGATTAAAAGCATCTATGTTAATACTGGCTGTATCTTCACCACAGTTTGAAGCCAAATTTATGGGCATTCCTGTGGTGGGAGGTACAACTCCCTCTCTAAGCTTACTGTTCATTTACTATTATAATTGAACAAGCAGCAGTGTAGTGGCTGTGTGATAGAGCTGCTGTGATTTTTTTTAACATCGGGCACAGTATATCCTATGATACACAAATACATACATTTATAGACAAATATTATTTTACAATTTTATTAATTCTGTTCTTGAAACTACAATATCAAGTAGGGTCATGTTTTAAAACTAATGTTTGAGCTTATCATATTCTGTAATTCATTGACGTGTTTATCCAGTTAAACAAAAACCTTTAAAACCATGCTAAGACTATTTATTTGAAAAAAAAAATGTTCAGTTTGTGTTTTAACACTTGAGAATAATACAGAAACAAGTTAATTTGGTAAATGCTTGTTTAAGTCAGGGGACAGGAAAAGCAGTTTTAATTACCCAATCACTCCCCTATGCTCCAGTGGTGGACTATTCCTTAGTGTTGATGACATCAACAGTCAGAGTTGATGACATCAGAGGACCTGTGACTGCTGGACCATTGGGGACAAGAGGCTGCAGGGGCTAGTCTTGCAGTGCAGAGGGAGCCTGCAAGGATTGGATAAGTAAAACTGCTTTTCTTATTCTCCAAGACTTAAAGGAGCATGAAATCCATGCAATGTGGGGCAGCCCCACTGCAAGGGAATAATTTTACTTTCCCTGGGGTTTAGCTTTAAAGTATATCTAAATAAAAGCACAGATATGTGATATATTATAGCTTACCAGTCCATAGATGTGGTGGCTGCATTTGTTTTCTTTTTATAGGCTAAGTACAGAAAAATATCTGTTGATCCTCCCAGAAATCCAGATGTTATATGCCATCCCAGCTATGGAGATGAGAAGAAGGGAAGTGTTTGTGGTCCAAATTAGGACAGTATCCTAGGGTGACAATTCTGATACAGTCAAATGACTAAGGCCCCTTTCAGATGGATGGACTCCGCCCCGATCAGCAAGGGGATCAGCTCATAGATCCCCTGCTGATCAAGCAGAGTGGGCTGATGACACATCCATGTCCCTCAGTTTATGCAGAGCAGCCATGGACAGAGTTCACTCTACTCTGTGGGTGGCCAAGAGTTAACAGACTCTGCTGTCTGTTTACACACAACACTCTCCATTCCAATCCCCCTAAATGGAGGTGGGCGAATCCCCTTTCATTTTTTTTTAGCAGACCTGATTGGACTCGGGGAAAGGTAGGTATAAACAGACGCAAGTTGGTTTCCACTTGCCTATCTATAGGCTGATTAGACCATCCAATCAGGTCCACCTGAAAATCTGACAGGTGGATCTCATCGGACCCACCGGTGAAAGGGGCCTTAAACATTGGCACTTTAGGATAGGAAGTGTGTTACTGGCAGCATCACCAGATGAAAATACATCCTCCACATCTACGGATTAGTGCTCTGTATTCTATTACATTATAGCATTCGGGTTTAAATAAGCTCTGATATCCTAAGTGCTAAATGTATTTCTGTATTTTTTGGAGTATGTGTTATTAGGGGTAATTGCACATCCTAGCTGCTTGCCTCTTGACATGGCACTTAGCCTAATTTTTAGTGTAACCCAGGCTGTGAGCGTTCACTGCATTCCTGAAATGAGCACTTGCTGTGTGATAATAGTAAGAAAATCAGATTGTGTTTGAGGGCAGTGTGGAAAACCACAGCAACTCTGAATGCATTTATCTCAAGTGGATGTTCATGCTGCTAAAACTGAAGTACACGCGCTTACAATTATGTACCGAGTTACTTGTGTTCAGAGGTGTGTTTTGTTTCATTTCTTTAAGGAAGAGGGGTTAGGACTTAATACTGTGCTTATTCTGTTCTTAAACTTGAGAGTGTGGTCATTTGTGCATGTGTGAACTGGCCATTCTAAGGTCAAGCTTTCTGCAGAGCCTTCCATAAACTATAAGATTGTGACAATAGAGAGGGTAAGGGTGGGAAACTGGAAGCAGGAGACATGTGCTGGCTTAAGCAAGGGAACAGTATCTGTTCAGACAGGATTACAAACCCGTTTGATCACGTGTTCCATCTGATGGAGGTCTGTCATGGACAATGATATCTGGGTGAAAATGTCTGGATCAGATGATTGGTATCATGCCTGTGTGTACCCTCTGCCTCAAGAGTCAAGCAGGCCATAGATTATGTGACTCATCATGGAAGGAAGGAAAAAAAAATCACTCGCTTACCCCATCAACACAGTCAGTGTTGATGGGGGAATCCTTCCCACAGTGCTATTGTGTTCTGCCGGCAGGGAGTCTTCCTGGTCGGCAGGAAAACAACGATTACTGCTATAGCCACCGGCAGTAATCGCATATAAAAAATCTGACAGGCTTGTTGTATCCAAGTTGATTGACAGATTGACTTAGGTACAACAGGTCTTCCCATAGATGGATCGAATCTTGGAATCTATGGCCGGCCTAAGGGTTCTAGAACACAGGCTGTGACTAAGTACAGTAAGTACACATTATCATTATATATAATATTTTCTGTGAATCAAAATATTCAAGAATTTCATCACAACTTTTTATTCTACCTGAAATATAATGTACAGTATATGTTCCCGTCATATTTATTCCCTCTAACGCTACTCTCTATTTTCCTTACTACTTCAACAAGGCTGTAAGGCTTTTCCAGGTGTAAATATATATTACAGGTTACACTTTAAAGGCAAAGTCCAGCATATACAAAATAATAATAAATACACATATATTTGCAGGAAAAATTAATATTTACAATTTTTTTGTAAATCAGTCTTCAAAGCATTGAAGCATCAAAGTGGATTGTGAGTGCAATGCCAGGCTCCTGCAGACTCTTCTTCCAGCTCCCTGCCCATACTGTGGTATGGAATTTAACTTAGAGAGCTGGAGGAAGTGTCAATGGACTACGAGAGATCACCATGTTTGTGTTCCATTGGGAAATACAAGTCTGTATGCCAATGTAGTACATTGCAGTTCATTCATTCACACATCTCTGTGGATAAACGGTGTGGCTGTGTAATCAAAGCCCCGCACAACCACATGTCAATGGACTGCGAGTGATCACCATGTTTGCGTTCCATTGGGAAATACAAGTCTGTATGCCAGTGTAGTACATTGTAGTTCATTCATTCACACATCTCTGTGGATGAACAATGTGGCTCTGTAATCAAAGCCCCGCACAACCACTTGTCAATGGACTACAAGTGATCGCAATGTTTGTGTTCCATTGGGAAATACAAGTCTGTATGCCAATGTAGTACATTGCAGTTCATTCATTCACACATTTCTGTGGATGAACGATGTGGCTGTGTAATCAAAGCCCCGCACAACCACATGTCAATGGACTGCGAGTGATCACCATGTTTGTGTTCCATTGGGAAATACAAGTCTGTATGCCAGTGTAGTACATTGTAGTTCATTCATTCACACATCTCTGTGGATGAACATGTGGCTCTGTAATCAAAGCCCCGCACAACCACATGTCAATGGACTACAAGTGATCGCAATGTTTGTGTTCCATTGGGAAATACAAGTCTGTATGCCAATGTAGTACATTGCAGTTCATTCATTCACACATTTCTGTGGATGAACGATGTGGCTGTGTAATCAAAGCCCCGCACAAACCACATGTCAATGGACTGTGAGTGATCACCATGTTTGTGTTCCATTGGGACATACAAGTCTGTATGCCAATGTAGTACATTGCAGTTCATTCATTCACACATCTCTGTGGATGAACGATGTGGCTCTGTAATCAAAGCCCCGCACAACCACATGTCAATGGACTACAAGTGATCGCAATGTTTGTGTTCCATTGGGAAATACAAGTCTGTATGCCAATGTAGTACATTGTAGTTCATACATTCACACATCTCTGTGGATGAACGATGTGGCTGTGTAGTCAAAGCCCCGCATAACCACATTTCAAAAGGAGAAGCAGCTGCCAGGAAGAAGAACCCCTACACTTTTTCATGGCGGGGGGTACATTTGCAACATGTTACACCTTAAATAGGGATGTAAAATAGGTAGAGTTAGCCTTTAAGCTCACATTTAGTTATTCATGCATTTTTTAAAAAATGTAAATTACCAAGTAAATTACCCACATGGATCCATCTGTTTTTTAGTCTAGGACCTAACAGAATAAAACATTTTAATCCATATATATATTAAAAATAAGGGTAGAACAAAAAAACAGAAAAAAATGAGAGATGTCAACCATTAATTATTCATCCCTGAAATGTAACAATGCTTCTGACTGGTTGTTTTGGGCTAGGTGATATATGATATGTTAACTTTGTTTTTAATTATGGATGATATGTGGCCACTTTGGATACAAGTGGTTCTCACTAACAGTGCATACTCTGACAGCCTCACATAATGTACCAGGTCAGTCTGACTGTCTTTGAAGCTTGTAAAGATGCTTGGCGCATCCCGACCTGACCTTTTATGCTTGTCTTTCAGTGCATTCCTCCTGATGAAGCCTGTACATCGCTTGACAGCAGCATGATACTAGTAATGATGAATAATAAGAAGTCATTCACAAAGCCGTTAGCAGTCATCACAATGGAGAAAACTTCAGGTAATTCAACGTACTCTCAAAATCCCAGGAAAAAAAAAAAACATTTTTTCTTAAATTTTCACTGAATTCTTTATGAACTGTTCTTTATTAAAGAGATATTCTCACACAACTCAGCTGTTACAGGCAATTGTATACACCAGCGTCCTGTGCAGACATTTATAGGATGGTATAACATGCTTAAAAATATTTGGGCTGTAGGATTTAGCTTGATGTAAACAATTCAGTACCAAAGATATCCTTAAATGGGCATGTAATTGAATTTTGCAGAGAACACTGTGCAAGGGCAGTACACTTATTCACTGCACAATGTATTAGTCTATGAACTAGAGCAAGGGCTGATAATTATCACACATTTAATATAGTAGCTTTATACTATTTATATGATACGTGACATAAATGTTGCACAGTACCTGCTGGCGTAGTGCCAAGAGGGATTTATTACTGTCAGATTGTGTCATGAAGCTGTACATAGTGTGCATATGGAGTAAAAGCAGGGCACTTTGTAGTTTATAGCAAAGAAAAAATCAGATCGCTGTGCAGCAGTTTGCTGCAAGGCAGTATTGGCTAGCACATGGAATGGAGGCATATATTTGTTTTAATAATTTCTGTTTTATTGAGTTTTCATACAATATTATACAGCACCAGTAGACATTGTATCAACAAAAACTGGCAATATAAAGTAAAAAAAAAACCTGAGATAAGCTCTACTCTTACAGTGCAGTGCCACAATGCGTGCTTGCCAATAGAGGTACATATAATATAATAGGAAATATAAATGAATACCATTATTGCTATGAATATAGATTCAGCATAATGTAGGTCACACCTGTATCAGGCCTAAACAACAGCAGGGAATGAGTGATGAAATAATGTGGGGGGTGTCCATGCCCTAAGTACTGGTTGTGGGGTAGGACCGACAGCCTTTAGCGGTGTGAGAATGGAGAGTCCATGATCACCTGATCTTCCCCTCTAAGGGTGTTTCTACTTCAAGAGTCAGTGGCCATGTCAGAATTCTCCAGCCACTGGGATCCGACTTTGTCATATATAGTTGGGCATCCTTGGCTATTGTAGGAAGCTGTATACAGAGGAAGATCAGAGTTATCAAGGGATGCATTTCTCTATTGGATTAATATAGAATTACCATTGCAAGATCTGCATAGCTAAATGCAATCAAGTGTTAAAAGGAAACATACATGCCACACATGGTAGATAGATATTCAAATGAAGTGACAAATGTGTAAGGTAAACTGTGTACACAGTAGTTACTAGTGTTACATTCATTTCTTAGAGGATTTATATATATATTTTTTAGATATACTGTATATGTGAATGCAAATTGACTATAAATAATCATGTTAGTGCATGTGACTGTTGTAAAGCCTTTTTATAGGTATAACATTTATATGTATATTAATATGCATTGATCATTTTATTATATGTGGGTTGTACCCCTGCTTAGTAATAGTGAACATTGGTAGTACTTTACTGGTCCTCTCTTTCTGACTGTAAGACTATGGGGGTTATTTACTAAAACGAGTGCAAAATCTGGTGTAGCTCTGCTTAGAACCAGCTTTTTTTTCAATGACAGGTTTTCTTTAAAACCAACAATCCCTGTGTAATTTATGTTACCTCTGAAGTCCTTCAGTCAGGATCACTGCTTCATTCCCCAATATTGTGATTGGGAAACATTGTGTAGATCTTTGCGTTCAGCAAGGATGGGGAAAAGTACTGGTCCTACTCCAGAGTAGATAGCTCAATTCATCATTTAGACATGCATTGGACCATATAGGGCAGGGTTTCTCAACTAGGGTTCCTCCAGAGATTGCTAGGGGTTCTTCCCATTGACCACAAGTGTAAGGAGCATTTTTTCCATTGACCAACGCATTAATATATCATGAGTTGTGACTACATTGTACATTAAAGCACCAATAGAGGAGTTTGAGAGATTTTTATATAACTTTAGCTGACTTTTCTCTGGTTCTGATGTTTTAATATGCAACCTCAACTTATCACTATATATTCCGTTTACTTTATAAGTTTACATTGAGCTCACCGCATTCGAATGTATATCTTAAATACTTCAGAATGTCTTTAGATTCCTTTCAAAATGTTTTATACACTGTGGTTACCATGATAACGAAAATCACTTTGTAGATGGAAAACTTTTCAGAGTTGAAAAGCCAGCCATTATATTCCCAGGAAAGTATTTACACACAACAATAGCACGAACACATCTCTCTGTTAGTGGGGCAAGATTAGCAGTGTTGCTGATCGCTGTGACATTTAGTGATAACAGTGAACAGGAAGGAATGTAACAGTGTGAGATAGTTGAATGCAAACATATCTGCATGGAAAGCTTTATCTCACTGCTCAGAAAGAATATGCAAACCTTTCATGTACGTGAGCACAAAATCTGTGCTGTTTTCTCATTCATTTATTGTTTATTCTTACTATTATATCAGAAATTTATTCCTCAGCCTGGTGGAAGTGTTATAGCATGGCAGTATTTCAGAAGAGGGCACTGTCAGAAAACGTCTCTGTTATAAAACAGCTATTGTTAGAACAGGTGACTGTATCAGTAGATGATACTATCCATATAAAACAGTTTGTTAGAACATGGAATACGTCACCTGACACAATCACAACAATTTGATAGGTCATAACAAGTGATCTGTCTATATGTTATAATAAGATTTCGTCAGCACACCAACAAGCTTGTTTCACAGTGAAAAGCTCTTTATTCTCGTATGATTGCATCGAAAAGCAACATTTCAGGACTACACAGAGATCCTTCCTGAGGCATGTGGTCATCTTTTATGAACACATTGAAAAGCAGCCTTTTCAGGAGCACACGTGGACTCTTCCTCCGCCATATGGTCATCTTGTGAATCTTATGGAAAAGCAATGTTTTGGGACCATGAGCGGACCATTCCTCAGGCATGTGCGAGATAGAATGTCTGCATGGTCCCAAAAAGTTGCTTTCGTATGTGATCACATGAGCATAAAAGGGCTTTGCACATTGAAACAAATTTGATGGTATGCTGGTGGCATATCTTATGTATGTTGTAAATCCTGACCAGTCAGGAGTCAGTTTCAGAACCCTTTTGACCACATGATTGATTCTAGTAGGGTGTGCAAAAGGAATACATGCTCTGCCTATATGTTAGAACACACTTCTCAGCACATTTACCATATGCATATGGGAATGCTACCCTGTGTATAGGCTCCAGCCCTTTGTCAATGGCACCCATCATTTTTGTTAGTAATAAGAATAATTAAAAGCAGAGTTCATGTCTACAGTTCATATAACTGTAGATATTTGGTGCTACTGCCTCTTACAGTGCTGTGAAATTACATTTTTGATGAGGAGATAGTAGGGTTAGTACCAACCTTGGGAGAAGATGATAGCAGTTGTGGAGGATTATCCATAAGCAATATACTGTATAGGACTGTGGTCATATACTTTTGGTCAGTTTGCATGTGTTGGAATGGATACAATATACTGCACACATGGGGGATGGTTTACTAAAACTGAAGAGTTTAAAATCTGGTACAGCTGTGCATAGAAACCAATCAGCTGCCAGGTTTTTCGTCAAAGCTTCATAGAACAAGCGGAAGTTAGAAGCTGGTTGGCTACCATGCACAGCTGCACCAGATTTTGCACTCTCCAGTTTTAGTAAATCAATCATAGTTTGTTTATTCACACTAAGAATAGTTCACAACTCTGTGACCTTTTAATGTCTTGGATCACTTTTGAAGGACTTCAGAGAACTTTTTTATTTCAAATTTTGTGCTGCCTCATTTTCAAAAAAACATTATACTTCATTTGTTGGCACTGTGTATGCAACACTGATAATTACTATTTAAAGGTGATATACAAAGGTGCTGGGTGAAGACTGGTATAGATATATACTGTGGATTGTGAATTCAGTTGCTACTCAGTGTATCTGTCAAGTGCATACTCTTCTGCAGTGGGATTCCTAAAGCCATGCTTTCACTGGTCCTGGTTGGCACTGCAGTCTCATGTCACGTGAGTCAGTACTCTTTCATAACAGTGTCAGGTAATGTCATTCAGAGGATAAGGAAATCACCAACTGTAGGAATTTATTTACCATTGCAGCCAGCCAGGGAACATGAATGCCATTGAGAAGTCAGGCTAACTATGCATCATAACAATAAGACAGATTGCAGCTGAGAATCTATCTTGGTCTATAAGCCTTGGATTTCAGCCCATTTTAAAACAAAATATTGAATATAAGCTCCTAAAAACATATGCATATTTATATTTTCATACTGTTTAACATATGGCAATGTAAAAAGACATATACAGATACAACACATACAAGTGTCATCATTGCTGACTTTTTAATCCTCATATCTTTAATTTGGCATTTTCCCACATTGTAAAACACTGCAAAATCTGTTGCAGGTATGTAAATAGTAATTATAAGTTAGGCCGGCCATAGACAAAACGATTTCCTTTCCTGCAAGCATGGGTTGCAGTAAAGAAAATTGCTCGATCTCCCCATCAGTTCCTTCCCGTGGAGCCTTTTGTTCGGGGGGGGGGGAAGCACAGGGGAGCCATCCCCACCAGGAGAACACAGTGATTATTGCTAGCAGCTATAATAGCCACTCACAATAATCACATGGAAAATCCGGCAGGCTGGTTGTACCAAAGCTGATCAAGTTGGGTACATTCAACCTGCCCATACATGCTTTGAATCTAGGCTGGTACCTGCTGAACTGGCCAAGATTCCTGGATGAGATTCGAACCATCTATGATCATCTTTAGGTTTATGCTATTGTATTTAAATGTGCAAAGGTTTGACATTTATCATCTTATTATTTTTTTTTGTGTTGTTTTTTAAACAGATACTCCAAGCAATCCAAACCGTCCAAGTTTACCTCAACGTAAGTGGTATTATTTATATTCATTATATACCTTAGTGTATTTTCTATACTATTTTAGTTGTCATTTAGTAATGGGGGCTAGCTTTTGCCTTTGTCTGTGCTGTAGTTAAATGCAGTTAGAACCCAGCCTAGATTTCCTGTGCACCATTGGGTTGATTATACTGTCTCCTATCACAAGTAAAAGGTGTGGTCACACAGTTTTGTATAGCTGTCATACATGAAGTAAGTATGTTTTTGCCAAAAAAAAGTAAACTTACTACTATTTTATTGTTTCAAGCCCACATGAAAAATAAACATCATAAAATAATTAAAGAGGCAGATGGTTACTTCTAGACTTTTTCTGCTTGGTTGCCATCCTATTTGACCTTTCTACAAACCCTAGCTTTGTTAGGATAGCTATATACAGTATCTTAGTGGATGGACAAAGATACATCCACAATTTGTCTGTTCAGAGACCTTTTTTGCAGCTTCAGTTTACATTCGGCTTGTCTTCAAATGCATCTTCATGACTAAAAAATGGAAATGTTTTGAACACCTCCATGATCATGTAAGATTTTTTAAACCAACCAGGCTAGTTGGCTAGTGGTGCTTTCCAGTGGCCATAGACATGAGATTGTCAAGGTGCAGAGGTTATGAGCCTCAAACACAGGCTCCCAGCCACTGGTCAATGCTATTCAGGACAAATGAGAGTATAATGTGGAACTACACTGCATCTGACAACCAAAAACACTATTTTACTAATTTTTAATATCCAAAGCAAACTCACCCATCCATATCTCTATGCTTTTTTTGCTGAGAGATCACTTTGAAGAACACCCTAGCGTTTCTGGCTGCAGAAGGCAGGGAGATGTTCTTAGCTGAGAAAATTCTTTCTCTCCTCCTGAAGACATAATTTGCCTAGGCCTAGAAAACAGGGAGTAACTGAAGAAATTTGAAATAAAAAGTTTAAAACAAGTAAATAAGATATACTTTCCTATCGATTTACTAACGCTAGCAGCATAACGATTACAAATAGTGATTGTTGATTGAGAGTGAAGTTCCACTTTAAAAATATAAATGTCCTGTTTCAAAAATGTACACAGTGTTTAAAACATGCTGTAAAGTGAAGTTTTTATGGACTTGCCTACTGGTTTTTAAATGATGCCTGAGCCACACGCAAAGTAATATCACTATTGTGAAAGAGGTTTCTTTTTTTTTTTTTTTAGAGATCTTATTATAGGTCTTATTTGGAAGAGATACTGGATAGCACTTTGCTTGGATATTGGGCCTCATGTAGAAAACTGGAAGGAAAGGATCATATTTGCCCTTAGCCTCTAGTCATATGCTTCCTTTTATATATAACCCACACCGGAAAAATATTTTTACTTTAGAATCAAGCTGGTTGCTGTAATTAACACCACAACTTTATTTTTCCTCCAGATTTGCGAGTAGTTCCATTGTGTTTAAAACAAAGCATTCTGATGATTGTGTAGCTCCATTGACTCTGTATTATTAGACTATTGCGGATATTCCATTTAAATAAATAGAATGAATGCCCTAAAGGTTTTGAAATAAAATAGAAACACACTTGGATATCGGCAAAGGGTGTCTCTGTGACTTATTCAACTAAAGGAAGTGTATTTTTTTGTCTGGATTTAATTTCAAAACATACACGGCAATGCCAAATTTTGAGAACAATGGATTCTATTTCTGTGATTTTGTGTCCTTTGCCTGACATCACTTATTTCCAAGCGGTTCCGCTCTCCACCTACAAATGGGAAGAGGGCCAAGTAGGTTTCATAGGTTACAGAATGAAATTGGCTGGAATGGTAGTACACATGTAGGAATAAGTGATATTTCCTTAAATCTTAGTACTACTGTCAGTGCAGCATTTAAAGGCCATTGCTGTTAAGTGCTTCTGCAAAAATCCATTTTTCACGGTGCTGAATTTAGACGTGTTCCGAAGGCCCTGATCACTCTCAGCTATGTGGGAAGGTTTTTCTACCCCAGAGTATGTCGATCTGTAAAGAAAAAAAAAACACAGACACATGCTAGTATAGAGTATATGATTTATTGACTTTGCTGGGAAATGTGAATATATAGAACAGATAGTTCATTGTGGACTTGTCAGATGTGTAGCCAGAATTAGACATTGGAGATGATTTTAAAGACACTCTGTGCAAGACTTTGTAAATAATGTCAAATTTTTTTTCTATTAACACAGCGGTTTTCTATGGGCTGGACACCCCAACGGTTGTCGGAATAGCCTTTGCAGCATTTATAATTGGTGCCTTATTAACAGGAGCCTTGTGGTACATCTATTCTCACACAGGTATGTCCTTACTATATAGAATATTTCACATTTCATTTGCAAGTATAAGAACACCTATATGTACAATAGCTTTAAAAACTTGCCAGAAGGTTTCTATATAAAGTGTTTAGGAAAGGTAGAAAGCAGGTGATCAAAACTGATATCTAATCAGGAACTTTTGCAAAGAAGCTGGCAAGAATGGTCAATCTACCTTGACAATCTGCATTCAATGTTTTTGTTCAGTTATGGTAAATCTGAAATCCAGGCTAAGCAAATATTGTCTAAATTCAAAAGCCATGTTTGATTTTAGTGTCCTGTATGTATTCCTTTCAGATTTGTGTAGTATTCCATCATAAAAAACTCCTGTACTTTTACTGTACTTTGTGTATATGTTTCCTCTGATAAAGACTGGTCACTGCATCCTTCAAACTTATCTCTAACCCAAACTTCCACTTTTTTGTATTCCAGTGAGGTATGAGCCAGGTCATTACCACCTTCTGTGAGACCTAGCCCATAGTTCAATGGAGTACAAAAAAATGGGAGTTCAGAGTTTGGGTTAGAGATGAGTTGGGGGGATGCCTCTTGTCACTTCCGTGCTCTTCCCTTGTGCATGGTTAATTGTCTTGTATCCGGCCCACTGAAGATTTCTGTAGGCAGCCTGTAGTGGGTCCTACTCACATGTCTGCTCTAGTTTGCAATTTGTTGATATCACTGCTGCTATCCATAATTGCAATGGCATTTGGTGCTCATAAAGTGGATTTATATTCTTTGTGGCTTTTAAATAATATGTTTAACCACTCGCCCTCCGGAAAATTTTACCTCCTTCCTGACCAGGCCATTTTTTGCTACTTGGCAATCGCTACTTTAATTGACAATTGTGCGGCCAAGCAACACTATATGCCAATGAAATCTATATAATTTGTTTTACACAAATAGAGCTTTCTATGGTGGTATTTGATTACCACTGTTTTTTTTTTTTATTTTTTATTATATAAACAAAAAAATACCAAAATGTTTTTCAAAAATGCAGAGACGCTCATATGTGAGTTGGCGGTTTTTGTGCCTAGGGATCCAATTTGGGTAATTTGATTCTCTGAGCTGTGCTCAGTTTGAATATTTTCACAAACCTGCAGGCAAGTGTCAAACCGGCCATTCATGGATCAAAATCAGCCAGTTCAGCAGGGACCAGCCAAATTTTGATGCATGCATGGGCACACTGGTTGTACACAAGTTGATCTATCGATTGATTGTTGATGGGGGAATCAAGCTTTTTTTCCTTCCACTCGTGGAGAAAGGACAGAAAATCGCATACTGCATGGCCTTCCTCTACCTTTAATCCTTTAAGAGGAAGGTAGCAGGTGTGTTTTATAGAAACTCAGTCAAATTTTTGAAGAACCATAGACACACTAGGTTTTTGTGATTTTATCAGGATAGGCGATCTTGGAGTGGTGGAGATCTACCTGAACAACAATAGATCAAAGATCAGAAGTAAGTAATACAGAATGTAGGAGGCAGAAATAACATAGGGTTCAGAGGTAAGTAGTATGTAATGTGGAGTGCAGAAGTCAGGAGTAAGTGTTTAAGAGTTCAGAGGTCAGTGATATCTAACATACGGTTCAGTAGTATGTAATGCAGAGTTCAGGATTAAGTAGTGAACATTTAAAGGATCAGCTGTAGGCAGGGGCGGACTGACCATTTGGAAACTCGGGCACTGCCCGAGGGCCCCGGGGTCAGTAGGGGGCCCCATGAGATGCCCCTGGTACCTTTTTTCATAGACGTTTTTGAGTTTGGGCAAGGACACAGGGGCCCCATGATCCCCTATTGCCCGGGGGCCTCATGAGTTGTCAGTCCGCCCCTGGTTGTAGGTAATGCAGAGTTCCACAAACTAGCCAGGCTGAGTCTAAACTGGTTTCTATAAATTACATTACACAACTGCTGTTTACACTGCTCTGTTGCATATAATTTAAATTGATTTTGGTTTGATGGCCTGCCACAATGATTAGGTGAGGATGGGACTGTTTAGGACTTCTGTAGAGAGTGATAATGATTGCTTTCAACCACCAAGTGTTAACCATACATGCATAGAAGTCTCTTCCATTTAGACTTATCTTTGACTCTGCTGCTCATTGTTGATGAGAGGTTTCCCCGTTTTATAACCATTTCAAATTTGGTTCTCGTGTTTCATATATATAGTGTCCAAATACTCTCCAGTAATTCTGTGGGCAAGAAAATCTGCTCAGGCAAAGTGCCAATAAGAGCACACATTAATATAAAATATATCCCCTGTACATTCCATATTTCTGGATATAACTCTTCCTCCACCCTTGTGGTTTTGGGAATTGATCCCTCAGAACACAGCTGAGCTATTCTACACCACAAATTGTCTCTGCAAAACTGAAACCTTTCAGTCTGAAATTATTGTAAAAGAGTAACTCATTATGGAACTACTCTATATACAGTGATTGACTATGTCAAGGCAGAAACAAATGACTATAATAAGGGAGCAATATTGTTTTCCAAAATAAATGAGACCCCTATGTTCTTAAAAGAGGATGTAATCTTCGTGATTATGTTGCTGGTAATTTAACATTAGTAGCAGAATCACTAGTATTACATGGCCATTAAGGCTTCTGGGATCAGTATGTAATTTGCTTTTATTCCTAAATAGGAATAAGCCAAACATACCTGGGTTCAGTTCGGAGCAGGTTTGGTGGTTATTACTAAAGTTCAAGAGCCAAATCCAAACCCCACTGAATGGGAGCAGGATTGTAAAAATGTAATGACCATTTTCTAGGCTAATAGGCAAGGAATTGTCAAATATATACCAATAAACATGTAATGGAACATGTACCAATGCAAAACATTTTTTAATATATTGGTTTGGCAGTGAGCAGTGATTTTAACCACTTCAGCCCCAGAAGGTTTATGCTCTTTCCAGGCCATTTTTTGCTATTTAGCACTGCGCTATTTCAACTGGTAATTGTGTGGTCATGCAACACTGTACCCAAGCAAAATGTCTATCCTTTTTTTTCCACACAAATAGAAATTTCTTTTGGTGGTATTTGATCACCACTGGGTTTTTTTAATTTGTGTGATATAAATGAAAAAAAAGCCAAAAGGTTTGAAAAAAAAATTATACTTTTTACTTTCTGTTATAAAAAGTAACTGATAAACTTAAATTTCATAAATTTAGGCCAAAATGTATTCTGTCTCATGTCTTTGATAAAAAAATACCAATAGGTGTATATTCATTTTTTGTCTTCGGGCTTTAAAAAAGAAAAAATACATTTTCGTTTTCATTTTCCAAAAATGTGTGGCAACAAATGAGATCTGCAAAATACTCACCATGCTTCTTAGCAAATAGCTTGGAGTTTCTACTTTCCAAAAAGGGGTCATTTGGAGGGGTTGCTTCTACTATCCTGGCATTTCTGGGCCTACATTAGAAGCTTATGCCACACATCACCCACTTTGCTAACCACTTGAAGACCAAGCCTTTTCTGAGATTTTTGTTGACATGAAAAAAAAAATGTTTTTTTGCTAGAAAATTACCTTGAACAATCAAACAGTATACTTTTTTAAAGCAGAGACCCTAGAGAATAAAATGGTGGGTGTTGAATTTTTTATGTCACACAGTATTTGCTCAGCGATCTTTCAAACCCAACTTATTTGAAAAAAATATACTTTTTTGAATGTTAATGCACAAAAACACAATATAGTGCCCAATTTTTTGAAGAAATATAAAAATAATGTTACATTGAGTAAATATATATACCAAATAGGAAATGCTTTAAAATTGCGCACGCCTATGCAATGGCAACAAACTATGTACATGTTTAATATCCGGAGGCAAAATTTTAAAAGCCTCTACAGGTTATCACTTTAGATTTACACAGGAGGTCTAGTGCTAGAATTACTACCCTTGATATGACGATCACAGTGATACCTCACATGCATGGTGCAATCTCTGTTTACATATATCGACACGAGGCAGTCACCTTTGAGGTGGAGGGAGGGGGTGTAATTTGGTCTGTAGACCAATATGACCGCAATTCATTCTTTTTTACAATGCCCATGTTGAGGGTTAGGCCCAAAAAGTTTTAAATTTAGAAATTGTGATAAGCGAATTGTCTGGCAAAGGCTGAATTTGGGTGGGGCGGTGATGTATTGTTGTATAAATTGCTTTGGCCCACAGCGAACAGCTGATCCTCATAACACTGCGTTTTTGGGGACACTATACTAAGGGGACACTAGTATAGTTCTGTTCGTGATCAATATTGATCCATACAAACACTGTAATAGTAATGGTGGTGATCAGCGACCTATAGCATGAATGTGATAGTATGCAGGCAATGTAATGCTAGCTGACCCTGGCTGGAAGGGGCGTTAACTGACCCTGATGCTATCTAATGTCACTAGTGGCAGTAATACAGTGATCAGTGAAAAATTCTGTATACTGACACTGTATTAATGGTACTGGCTGAATGACAGATGTGATCGAAGGGTTATTAGGGGCGATCAAAGGGTTAAATGTGCTTATCTAATGTGCGTGTGTAAAATGTAGTGATTTTACTCAGTGTGGTGTTCTTTGTTCTCTTCCTGAGCCAACAGTGGGGGGGCATGCACATGCGCGCTCACATGCATGCTCACACCCAGAAATAGAAAGTTATTTATTTACAGAGCAATGTACCAGCTTGTCACTCTGCCACCTGTAGAAGTACTACGGGTGGTTGACAAGTGGTTAATAATGCTCAAAGGGCAACATTAAAAATGAAAATGCTAAATTCTTTTAAATAACATGTCTAGGAGATCTGCTTAACCTGCTTGTGAAGTAGTGCATCTGTACAATATTTACAGCCTACTAAAAAACTGACTTTTGCAAAGAAAACAATAAATTGCCTTTTAAATTATTGGAACTCGAAGCTTCATTGTTTTGTTTGTAAACAGACAAACAGGAATTTCCTTCTTCTACACCAGACCCTTATGAGACCCTAGATGAGGGTCTGTTATAGATGTTAATGGGGGA